CACTGAACCCTTAGTAAATATATCTGTCTTGAGTATATATGTTTATATCTTCAAAATGCTATCAAATGTGCAATAAAATACTCTGATTAGTTCAATGGTAGTTTCCCTTCATTGTGACTCTTCTGATGCCAAAGCAAAGCAAAATAACCATGAAAGCTCTTCCACATTCATTGATTACCAATTTCTTCAGTTTACATTATCTGATGAATAATGAGACAAATTCTTATAATTTCTATAATGATTGCATTTGTAGTTTTCCTCCAGTATTTTTTCTCACATGCACAATAAGGGAAGAAATCTTGGTAGACACTTCCCTCATTCATGATTTATGACTTCTCTCCAGTATGAATTCTCTGCTGTGCAATAATGAGAGAGCTACAGAGAAAGGATCTTTCATATTGATTACGTTTGTACGACTTCTCTCCATTATGCATTCTCCAGAGCAACAAATTTGACAGCTTCAGCTGGCAAACTTACAACATTTACTGAATTAATAATGTTTGTTCCAGTATGAGTTGTGAATGAAAGGAATATTTAAAATTTCACAGGACTTTTGTAGCCCTCATTCAATATCAGATAACAGTAGACTAGAAATCTAAGCTTCCTTGGAGGACACTTGGAATTCATACCCAAGGAATATCACTGTAGAAAATGAAGCAACTTTTAACAAGTGCACTCATCTATTTCTAGATAGATCAATATGCATCATTAAGGGAAAACCCTACACACATAAATTTGATCTTTGTGTGTGGAGATTCATGAGTATGGGTATTTTTGCATGTGTGTTTGCCTGCGAGCACAAACTGGGTGTTGAACTCCAGATTTTGTGAATGCTAAGCACACATTCTAACACTGAGCTACATCCCCAGCCCAATGATTTCACTTTTGATGTATTAAAGATTTGATTTTATTTCCTTAGCATTGTTTGAATCCAAAAAACCATTTTGCATCTGATGTTATAAAGTTATGATTTTAAAGGAATTCATATATTTAGTCCTCAGTTTAACTATTATGTTTCAAGTTAGTATGAGTCCTTTCATGCATAACAATGAGGTCAACTAATTATAGAATCTAGTTATTGAATTTTTCACATTTATTACATTCATAGGATGTGAAATCTAGTTATAGAATTTTTCACATTCATTACATTCATAGGATTTAATTATGGAATGAATTTCTTTTTGTTGTTGTTTGTTTGTTTTATTTTGTTTATTTGACCTGGATTAGTCTGTGTGGTAGCTTCAAGACCCAAAATCCAGTTATACCTGAAAGACACCTCTGAGAAGCAGTCATTTCCTATTGCTAGTATTTATTACAAGCAATAAACCTATTTACTATAGGTAATTTATAATCATCAAGAATGATGAATTAAACTAAAACAAATAGAAAATGAGAAGACATTAAGAGGAAATCGCAAATGTCCAGCTCACCAAAGCAAACCCAGCGGAAGTTGTAGTAGAACAACCCAAAAGCATCCCACCTGGAATCTCTCAACTGGTTACAACAGAATAACCAAACAAAGGAATGAGCTTCTAGGAAAAAAATCAAATCAGAAATAACTTTCCAGATAACTAGATTACAGATAAAGGCCATGCAAAAATGTCCGTGTTATTAATGCCAAATTCCATGAAAAATATACATCTTATACAATTAACCATGTTGATGCCAAAGTATACAATATTGTTTTGAGTTGGGGTCCAGGGGAGCAAAACTAGTGACTGCCTTCTTTACTTTCTTGTTCTTGGGAAAAAATACGCAACACTCACACGGTAAAGGAAGAGAGGTTTATTTTGGCTTACAATTTGTAGAGGTTTCCATCCACGTGCCTGGCTCCAAGCAGGACAATATGGCATAGGGACATGGCAAGGAGAAGCAGCCCAGAATATGATAGGCAAGAATCAGGGATGAGGAAGAGAAAGGGAGATGCACCCTTCCGGGCCATACCCACAGTGATCCACCTCTTCCTATCAGATTTCACCTCCCAGAATCATATTTTGCTATCATCTCATTAGAGGCCAAATCCAATGAGTATTTCACCCCCATGTTCCAATTACCTCCCTAAAGCCCTACCTATGAGTACATGAAGATTTGGGGAACATCCAGATATAAACTATAACAAACTATAACTGCAAAAAAATCAAACAAAAAGCTTCAAATATACCCATATGCATAAAGCCAGATTGCTCCAGAACTCCTGTAGATGTATAAGTAACAAGACTTTAGTGCAGCATATTTCTCAACCTATGTAATACATTGATTCTTTTCAAAACAGAACAGCAAGCATAATTCTGGTCTTTTGTTATACCGTGATAGTAATTTTGATCTTTGCATGCTTTCTGTTTGTTTCCAAAATGTACATTGTGTTGTACCCCAAAAACAAGCCCCGTGATGTTGTCTGTTGTCAAGAAGGGGGCACGACTCCTTTTAAAGAGAAGCCCTTTTATTTAAGCTGGTACTAGTGGCACAGTGAAGATGGAGTTTGCAAAGCTGTGTAACTGGGTTAGAATTTTGACAGAATTTTACAGCACATTACCCACGTGATGTGACAGAGCAGGAATTAGGAAGGCCTTTGTTTCCCTTTGCTTGAGGTCAGAGATGTTTCACAGTTGCTGGTTAGCCCTTTTCTTCTTTAAAGGAATTCACAGCCCTTGGTCTGCTAATTCCAGGAATATTTATTTCTCACAAAAGGAACAAAGGTTGACACAGCAAACAGGTTACTTGGGGGAGGACGCATACAGAACAGCATGACAATGCAGTCAGTTAATCTATAACTATGTGGTTTGTGCTTCAGTTACGTGGTTGCTAGGCTAATAAGCATAGTACAGAATGACAATTCTGCTAATAACTATCTTTTAAACTATTTTTTCTAATAACTTTTTAACGAACTATTTGTTTTTTTAGTATTTTAGTACAACACATTGCATTTTTATTGTGATTTGACAGAATATGTATTCAGTTATTCTCAATGAAGAGCAAACTTAAAAATGATGTGTGTTCATAAATACAATAACTTTAAAATTTCCAATTCTTGTAATGGCAGAATTACAGGAGGTCATAATACTGGTGAAATCCTGGATAGTTCCTTGTAAATAAGATTTTCTAAACTTATTAGGAGGAAATAATTATTTTTTATCTGAAGGAAACATCATTTTATCATGTTAATTTTGAAGGATGATTCCTATAACGCATTCACTGGGCAGAATGAGGCTGTTAAAAATTTTGCATTCATTATAATGACACATATCTTCTTACTTTTCTGGGGTGACTTCATTTTTTTCCATAGAATTGGCCTTTTAAACTATGTGACTCATAGTCTTCCAACTTATAAATTTGTTATCTTAATATTGTCAAAATGTTAAAAACATTTTGGTAGGGATGAGGTTCACTGTGAATGCTGAGATCGGACTCAAGTATAATAAAAGAAGCCAACAAACAAAAAAGCAAAAACACCCCATTTTCACTTGCTTCACATTCTTCTAAAGAGTCATCTCTTCTCAGTTTGACCTCAGTTTCTTCAATCTCTCCACATACCAGGACTCATCCGTATAACCATCTACATCCCTGGGATGCTTCTCCAAGTGTCAGTCTTCATATAGTTGTAGCAATTTATTTAAAAAATAAGACAGGAAAAAATGATAAATAGAAACCTGGGGCTCTCTGTATTTAGGAAAAGTAACATGAAACAATTGTCAAGCATGTGCTGTGCGTTCTGAACCTGCATGATTTTTAAAAAGCCCTTATAAATTGTGATCACCTTCTCCCACATATTTGTGAAAATACACAGGCTTGAAGCAGTAAAAACAATTCCAAAGCCTGCAGTTTCCTCAGCTGTAAAGCAGATGGTTTGTCTCTGTCATGAGACAGTTGGAGAATAAGGTGTCTTGGAAAGATGGCACAGAACTGCATCCAAGTGAGGTAGGAGGTGGGACAAGGGAGAACAGAGATAATGTCAGTGAAGAACTGAGCAACCTGACAGAACAAGGATGGCTCTGTGCAAGGAAAAAAAGGTAGGGCCCTGGCCTGTGGTCAATACTATTTACATAGCTATTTTGGCACCCTTACGCCCAGTTTTGTTTACCAAGACACTTCTTCTAAAATTCTTGTATGGGCACAATTCTCCCTCTTGACAGTTCAGATGAGTCAGGTATTACCTGGTATAATGCATTGCTGTGGGTGGCTGCATCTCTGCCATCTGAGAGGAACCACAGTAGTGAAGACTTAGACACCAGCCGGAGAAGGCAGCTTGCAAGGCAGCAGCTGTTTATTTTCAGGGTGTTTTCCTGCACTACACATGGGTCTGAACATGGCCTCGGTCTTTCACTTTTAATAAATTTTGCTCTGATTACTCATTCTCAGTGTCCTGCTTAATTCTTTGTTTGCACCTCATAACCCCAGCATTGCATGAGGATGGGTTAGCAGAGTCACCATTCTTGAGCCTCACTGGGAAAAGTGGTGACTTAGAGACTCTGCCTGACAATAAAAATAAATAAGGGATGAGATATACTGCAGTGTGAATGTTCTATGTTTAGTCCCCAACCCTTCCTCCCAAAATTAGACAACCTACTATCCAAAAGCTACCCGTCTTACAACAGCCTTAATGGCAACCTGGAATCTCCTGACTCCAATCTGACTCCACCTTAATCAAGCATAAACTTGAGTTAGGTGGGGATGGTGACCAGCTGAGCTCCTTCATCACATTGTCAGCAGCTGGTAGTATAGGATTTCAAGGCCCCCAGCTTGAGGTTTGGGGTGGGAGCCTCAGCCTGTTGTCTAAATGTCTCCGTGTCTGCACTCAGACTGGGCATAAAACTCCACTGACATTAAGTCTAGGAGAGGATTCAACAAAACTGTAAGCTGGGAGGGTGCTGAATGCATGGAAGGCAGGACACATGAAGGTCCATTGGGTAAAGGCAGCTATTTGGGAGCTCTGCCTTCTCTGCAGTGAGGCAGAGATTGGGAGGGCGGTGACTGGCTGGGGCTGGGAGTGGGAGGACAGAGATAGCCCCGCCCTGGAGTGGGTGGGTGGTAGCCTGAATGGAGGATCCCATCCTGTGGGCTGGGTGGCCTCAGGGGGATGTTCAAAGAGCTCTGCTTCAGAGCCCTCATTTCCACACTACACTCACTTTGGACAGCAGATTTCAGAGTGACCTTACACAGTAGTGTTACTTGGAGAAGGTGCATAGAATATTTGACATGGCTCCCAAAGGTAAGTTGTTTGGTGGGAAGTTGGGGTGTGTTAAGTGTGGGGCAGGCTATGCACCGCGTTAATGTCTTGTAGGGGTTGGAAATTTTAGCTCTTGAAAGTGTAAGTGGCGCCTGTGCTCCCAGCACTGAGGAGGTGGAGGCAGGAGTATCTTGGATTTGAGGCCAGTCTGGGCTACATAGTGAGTTTCAGGCCAGTCTGAACGATATAGCAAGAGCCTGTCGGAAAAAAGAATAAATATTACAGGTAGGAGCCAGGTGTGGTATTCTAGGGCTGTAATCCCAGCATGAGCCTATAATCCCTGCATTGGCATATAATCCCAGCACTCAGGAGGCTAAAGGAAGAGCATTGCTGTGAGTTTGAAACCAGCCAAGGATACCTAGTGAGTTCAAGCAAGCCTGAACTATGGAGTGAGACCCATCTCAAAAGAACAAAAAAAGTACACGTAGGAGGATCTCAAATTGGAGTCAGGTTTGGGAAACTTATTAAACTAATGAGAAGACAAGAAATTTTAAAAGACCTGAGGATATTCTTCAGTGCAAACACTGTGAGTTCAGTTTTGAGTCCTATGAAAAATGCAAAAAGTTATCTAATAGGCTGGGGACAACCCATGTCACCAAGGTGACTGTCTGTGGTGGCTGAACACTGCAGTTGTGGAGTAGTGCTTTTTTGTTATTGTTTTCTTCTCTTTTTCTTTTTTCCTCTTTTTTTTTTTTTTTTGTACCAAAATCAAACTGATGACGTGCAGGCACTTGTACTACTGAGCTAAAGCCCTGGCCCTGAGTAGCCTTGTCTGAGATGGTGAAGTATTAAAAATGGACCTGTGATTATAGGAAAAAATTGTTTATATCTGTAGATACGTGGTATCATCAAAATACGTGGTGCAATCTTGAATCAAAAGTTTATTCCAGAAAAAGTGCAGTGCCATTAGACTAACTACTCCTTCATGCTTTAAATTCACTTAGCTCATGTTCCTTGCCAGTTTCATCTTCTTTTATTTTTAAAGAGAGACGAACTTGCTATGCAGTTGAAACTGCTCTCAAACCACTTTGTAGCCTATGCAGGCCTCAAATTTTCAGCCATCCTCCTGCCCCAGCCTCAAGACTGATAGGATTAGAGAAATGCCCTACCATACCTGACAGGACTGTCAGGCTCTGAAGCAACTCCCAGGGTCCCCTACCCTGAGTCCGTCATAGCTCTGGGGATGCCATTCCCAGAAAAGGCAGCCTCTATGGACATCACTGAGGCTCCTCCCTGTAAAGGCCTTCAGACCTTTTCTGTAGATTGCAGGATTGGGCTCAGCACAAATGAAATTAATTCCACCCATGGAACACTAATTTTGCCTTGGGATCACATCCCGGAGTCTAATCTTCACCTTTTAATCTCCCTGAGGAAACACTGATGGAGAAATAGAAAAAGAAGCCTCCACCATTTGTACTTTCCAGGCAGGCCCTGCCCCCACTTGAGTCCCCTCCCAGACAGCAGGTGAAGCACCTGGCCAAGGGGTGGGAGCTGTCCTGCTGGGCCTCAGCACTGCAGGCTCAGTCTCCCAATATGCCTCAGGACCCTCTCTGAACCAGGAAATCTAGACATAAGAAGGCACTTACAGCCGTTTGTCCTTAGGGACTTCTGGCCTTGGGTGATTCCCATCGGGATTATTTGTGAGCACATCAGGGAAACCTGGGTTTTTCTGTGAGCTAGAACAGCTGTGGATGGAGACGCAGCAGGGCTGGCACACAGCTGCCCAGCACTTCCCTGCTCCCAGCGCCCCTTCCCTGCTACAAACAAAGGAAAACCAAATAACACTGTGCTCTTTTGTAATTTGTGTTGTCTGATACTTTATGCATTTCTGCAAGGAAAGGGTTGAGATCTACGACTTACTGTATTTTGTGCAAATTTCAATTAGTTTTAAATTTTCATCCTCTTCAGAACTTCATATTACAGAATTTGTTTTTCTGTTTCTGTTTTTTGGTTTTTATGTTTTTGTTTTTGAGCTAGGTCTCTCTGAAGTCTCGGCTGGCCTCAAACTCGAGCCTCTTTGAGTTCTGAGTGCTGGGACCCAGTCCTGTGCCCACCTGGCGATACTATGTCACTGATCCCTTCAGCAGAGGCCCAGGGTTGGTGCAGGCAGCACTGTTTTCCCTTATTCGAAGAATCCGTGCTTACTTTCATATTAGTAGTTCAGTCCCTCTTTCCTTTTGTTATTTTCTAAATGAATATATTTTGAAATTGTGGTTCAACAATATGAAATTTATCATCTTAAAACTTGCATCACCGCGGAGATGAGCAGTATCATTTCCCTTTGCTTTTCTTCCTTTTAGTATACTGGGCATTTAACTCTGGGCCAAGATCGTGACAGCCAAGCACTCTGGTTTTTTTCATTATATTAACTCCTGGTTTATTTATTTTAGTAATAAAAGCAGGCCTTTGAGTCATGTTTCCATTTTGTTTAAAAACCATGATTGTTACTCCAGGCATGGGGGCACAGCCTGTAATCCCATCACTTCGGGGGCCGAGGCAGGTGAATTGCTGTAGCTGAAGGCCAGTTCTGGCTACATGGTAAGCTCAAGGTCAGCTGGTAACACAAAGTGAGACCCAGTCTCAAAGAGAAAAAACCCTAACAGAATCAGTTCTTCAATTTTAGCTCTTCAGTAAAATGTATGAAATGCTCTCTCTGATTCACTAAGTAGTTTTCCATGTATTTCTCAGTTGAGAGAAGCTCCATATTGTAGTTGGAAAATCACACTCAGGATGTTGTGGTAGGAACTTAATCCCCACTGCAATGGTATTAGCAGCTGTGTCCTCTCAGAAGCAATCAGATCATGGGATCCAACCTCAGAAAGGATGCTTTAGATTTTATTTGCTTTAGTTAGCTGATAGAGGCTTTGAGATTAAGGCAAAATCTCTGTGCCTGAAATTTTCATATGTAGATGCATGTTTTATAATCTCGGGCTGTTTCTTGAAGTAGAGTTTTCTCTTTTAATCCTGATAACATAGAACATAAACTTGAGCATCTTTAGTTTACTCTCAGAGGCACTGTGTACAGTTCCACCTCCCCTTACAACTCTGTCCTTCCCATTCCATTTGATGATCCTGGCACATTTGTTTCTCTTTGTTAGTTTTTTTTTAATTTAAGAGAAAAAAAGTCACAGAAAAGAAACACAAAAAGCAAAGAGACAAACAACAACAACAAACCCAAAGCAATAGTAATACAAACTGTCAAAACAAGATGATAGAAATTTAACAATAGTTGTAATATGGCATATTGTTATCTACAGAAGGGTTGCTTAGATTGCTAAATATACACAGGCAAAATTGATCTAATCATATGAATATTAACTGGTTTTCCAAGAACAAATAGAATTATGTCATTTTCCTTTTCCTCTATCCCAATTCCTTTTCTCCGTTGAGTAGTTTAAAACCTGGCACTTTGTGCACATAAAATGTTGACTTCATTAGGGCTCCATCTGCTTGGGCCCTGGAAACTACCATTTTTTTAGGTTATACCCGGGAATTATGTATTAGGTACCTCATAGGCACAGACCTGGTGGGTGATATAGTAGTTTGATTTTTCTGGAAAACTATCATAGAAGCTATACCACCCTGCATTTACACTGATAACATACAATGTTTCCAAGTTCCATGCATCCTCAATTGCACTGTTCCAGTCTTTTAAATAACAGCAATTGTAAATGATATATGGTGATATATGGCAGTAGATTTGATTTTTGTTTCCTTAGTGATTGGTGATGTTACACATCTTTCCATGTCTGCGTCTTATTCATTTATTTAGAGGCAGGGTCTTGCTGTGTAGAGCAGGCCTGCCCTGGGTGCAAGGAAGGTCTTGCCAGTGAACCATTGTATGTCACTGTTCTCCACTTTTATATTCCAGAAAATTTTGATATGCCTAAGAATATTTCAATTCTCTGACAGTCTTAAAGAATGTCCTGTCATTCAGCTAATATTCTTAGTTGTGAATAGGTCTTACAAAGTTTACCTGGATGTTCTTCTCCTGTGATCAAGGGAGCCTCCTGCCTCAGAATGAAGGTTTTAGAGGAACAGGCCTATGCTGCCACACCTGCATTAGTAATCTCATTTCAAAACCAGAAATCTCATTTTAGACAAGTGCACTGGTAAGCACCTCTAATCTAGCATTTGGGAGGCTTAGGAAAAATGATTCCTGTGAGTTCGAGGCCACCATGGGATATCTAGTGAGTTCATGGCCAGCCTACACTACAAGCAAGACTCTGTCTCTAAATAAATAAGTGAAACTTTTAAATTTCACTTCATCTTTATTACCATAGTATAGATTCCTTGTTTAGTAATTCCATTATTAATAGGTATGAGGCTACAGACTTATAAATTTTAAATTATGAATTGTTTTTTTAAAATTTTATTTAAGGAGAAAAAGAAAAAAAGCAGAAAAAGGGTACAAGTTATACAGAATTTCAGAAACAAACAGTAGGAAATCACTAGTTAATAGATTACATATTGTCATCTTAGAAATATTTGTTCAAGTTACAAAATTAAAGCATATAAAGTGGACATTCAAACAGTGAGACTGCAAACAGTTCTGTTCAATGATCCAACAAAACTCAGTAATATGGTTTTCTATCTTATACACTTAAATATACATGCAGTTCTATCATTTAGAGCACTTTCTTTTCCTCTATTTGTACAATGACAATTACATATTTTGGGTTTTATTACTCCCACAGTTTTTATTACTTGTTTTTTTGAAGACAGTAAAACCAAATGTGACATACCAGGACAGAGTCAGTCAAATCAAAATGATGGACATAATATATAATGTAAAAACATAGAACAAGGTGATCAACAATGGTTACCATAATGCCTCTTGCTATCTTAAAAAGAATTGCCTATATCATCAGTTATAATAAAATTGAACAAAACAGTAAAGAATAAGACTGATAAAACCAAAACATTGGAGACATTAGAGGACTTCAAAAGAAGATAATAGTCAACCAGAATGGGCATCACAA